ATTGATAAATATCAAAGTCAGCAAAGTGGTCGGTAAACTTTGAGAAGGAGGGAAACACCATCTGTAAAGAGTGTCCCTAGGCTCTTCAATATTGTATCAATTTGTTTCTTAACATTGGGAAGATATTACTAGTCTTTGCTCCTTTTTTGTATAAATTAAATGGTTCATGAAGGAGCGCTGGTGGCCTACTGGTAAGAATGTACGCTGCAATGCCTAAGGCAAGCAGTTCCAAATCTGCCAGCAGTTCTGTGGGAGAAGGATGGGCAATCTGCCCCTGTGCAATTACAGCCTCTGAAAACTTACTGGAGAGTCAGCTATGCATGGTTTCCAACTCAATGACACACAACAACAACAAATAGCTCATGTATTTTTTATTTTATATTGGTTTGCTTACAAAGGTTATATACATTGTGTTTCACACTATCCTTTGTTCACATTGTGTTTCATACAAGCATTCCCATTCATTGTGTTTTATAAAATTAATCATCAACAAGCTATGCCCACCAGTACCCTAACTTTCCAGATCCCCACTGGATCTTTCTCATTTCCTTTGGCTCTTTATTTCCTTTAACCCCATCTCCCTCCACCCACCAAATTGTGTAAGCCTATGATTTCCCCCTGTGGTGCAGACCGAGGGTCCCAAAGAATGAAATAATTTTATAATTATTAATAATGAGACAGACTACCAGGAATGATATAGAACAGAGAGTGCAAAAAACAGGGGGCCAACAGTTCCCATGACTGAAGGCCCCAAGCCATGCTTCTCTGAGTATTTATTTAGAATCATAAGGAAGGTAAACAAAGCAAAATCATAAGTACAAAACAAAAACAAAGGATAATGGTGAAGTCTAAGGCCAAGTTCCTCTTTATGCTCATCTCAGAAGGAATTCAGTTGACACAAATTAAGAACGATGTTGACTCTTAGGGAACACCTTAGTGCCACAAGGTGACCTTCAGCTTGTATTAAGCCCCCCTCATTTCCTGATACAGTATTTGGTCTACTATTAGTAAATTTTATATTCGGCTTCCCTCACCCCTGCCCATCTTCACCCTTCTGCTCCCACCCTTCCTCCCTTGAATCCTCAGACACGTTTTACTAGTGATTTTTCCTCTTTTTATAATAATGGTCTTATGCCGTATTGGTCATTATTTGACTGAGTTAGTTCACTCAGCATAATGCTCCAGTCCCTCTTAAGTTGTGCAGTAACTTTCAAAATTGTTTCTCCTGAGTGCTGCATAGTATTCCATGTGTAAAATGTACCACAATTTCTCAATCCATTCGATTGTGGTTAGATATTTAGGCTGTTTCCAAGTTCTTGTGATGGTGAATAACACTGTTATGAAGATTTGTGTACAGAGCTCCGTTTGTGTCTTAGTTCTAATTTTCTTGGGGTATATTTCCAGTAGTACAATAACTGGGTCATACAGAATTTCTATGTTTGGCTCTTTTGAGGAAACACCAAACTACCTTCCAGAGTGGTTGTACCATTTTATAACCCCACCAATAATGTATGAGTTCCAATCTCTCCCCATCCTCACCAACATTTATTACTTGCTGTTGTGTTAAACACTGCCACTGCTACTGGAATGAGATATCTCATTGTTGTTTTTATTTGCATCTCTCTTATTGTCAGTGATTTTGAGCATTTCTCCACGTGGCTGTTGTGAAATTTCTTTCCATGTTTATTGCCCCTTTTGTAATTGGGTTATCAGGCCTTTTCTTTGGGAGGTCTTATAGGATTCTGTAAACCTTTGTTGTGAGATTCTTGTCTGAGATGGTATTGCCAAATGTTTTTTCCCCGTCAGTAGGTTTTCTTTTCACCCTGTGCAAAGGAACTTAATCTTTAAAAGGTCTCATTCATCAATTTTATCCTCTCTTGGTTGTATATTTCTGACTGTATTTGTCAGCCTCTTTATACCATGAGGTAGGCCTTCTAAGCTTGGTCCCACTTTGTCTCTTTTGATCTTTATGGTTTGGTGCTTTACCCCAGGCCTCTGATTCACCTTGAGATGATTTTTGGATAGTGAAGGTGTGGATCCTGCTTCAGCTTTCTGCAGTTTAATAGTCCAGTTTACTTTTGCTAGCACCATTTGTTGAACAGGTTGTCACTTCCCCATTTGATTGGTTTTGTTTCCTTGTCAAATATCAGTTGACTATAGAGAAATGAGCTAATTTCTGGGTTCTCAATTTTGTCACATATGTCCAATGCTGCTTCCATACATGTTGACTGTTAATTCAAGTAAAATCAATTCATTGCCAATTTCAATCTTCTTTCCATTTATCATGATACTTATTAATCCAATTGTGGGGATTTTTATTTTCTTCATAGTAAGGTGTAATTCATACAGTAGGCTATAGTCTTTGAGTTTCATCAAGAAGTATTTAAAGTATTATTCTTTCTCTGGATGCAAGGTGGTATCATCTGCATAGTGCCATGTTCTTGATGAATCTCCTTCCAATGCTGATGCCATATTGTTCTTCATATAATTCAAGTTTCTCAGATTATCTGCTCAGCATGTTGTTGTTGTTGTTGTTGTTGTTATCATTGAATTAGAACTGACCATAGCTGACCTTCCAGCGGGTTTTCAGAGGCAATTAATCGTACATGAGGAGATTGCCCATCTTCTTCCACAGAGCAGCTGGTGGATTCAAACCGCTGTCCTTTGTGATTGCAGCACAGGTTTTTACCTCTAGGCCCCCAGAGCTCCCTTTCCTCAGCATACAGACCAAATAGATTTGTTGAAAGGATTCAACCCCTGACACATATCTTTTCTGATTTCAAACTAAGCAGTATCTCCTTGTTCTATTTGAACAATTGCATCTTGGTCTATGCACAGGTCCCCCAGGAGCATGATTATTCATGCTGTCAAGTCGGAACTGACTCATAGCTAATCCTCCAGTGGATTAACAGTGGTTGTAAGTAGCAAGGGACAACAGCTTCTTGGTCTAAGTCTAGATTTTATATGAACATTATTAAGTGTTCTGGGATTCCCACTGACCTGTCTTTAAGGCAGTAAACATCTTTTCCTCCCGCACTGGATGATAGATTTGGTCATGCCCACCTCTTGGTAATTAGCTAGCTCTTAATCCCTACACTATCAGGGCTACGTTGAATTAAAATAATAACTATTAAATATACCCAACACTTCCAGTCAGTCCTATTTATGGGATCACAGGAAACCTCCATTAGGTTTATGTGATCTTTGCAGGAGACTGTCCATGTTTTCTCCTGCTGAGTGGCTGAAGGATTCCATCTGCTGACCTCTTAGGTTAGCAGTATTCTTTATGTGCTGCTGCTGTTGTTGTTGTTGTTATGTGCCGAGTCGCTTGCAACTCATAGCGACCCTATGTACAACAGCCCTAAATTCTGCTCTGTCCTGTGCCAATCGCACTGTCTCTGACACTCCCATCCCGATTATCCCAGTCACTGAATCAACCCACCTCATAGAAGGCCTTCCTCTCCAGCGCCGTCCCTCCATCCTCCCAAGTATGATGTCCTTCTCCAAGGACCGGTTTCTCCTCACAACATGTCCAAAGTATATTAGACGGAGCCTCAGAATCCTTGCTTCCAAGGGGCTACCCGGTTTAACCCTTTCCAGGACAAATCTCTTTGTTTTCCTAGCAATCCATGGTATTCTCAATACTCTTCTCCAGCACCACAGCTCAAAGGCATCAATTCTCCTTCTATCCTCCTTGGTCATTGTCCAACGCTCTGATGCATAACAAGTGACTGCGAAGACCATGGCCTGTATCAGACGGACCTTAGTCTCCAGAGAGACACCATTGCTGTTCACTACTTTGGAGAGGTCCCTAACAGCAGACTTTCCCATGGCAATGCGCCTTTTAATTTCCTGGCTGCTGGTGCCAAGACTGTTGACTGTGGAGCCAAGCAAACTAAAGCTGTGTACAATCTCAATCTCTTCACCATCCATCCTGATGTTGCCAATTTTTGGTCCACTGGTGAGAATCTTTGTCTTCTTGACATTGAGCCTCAATCCATATTGGAGGCTGCAGTCCTTGACCCTCTGCAGCAGGTGCTTCAGGTCCTCTTCATTTTCAGCAAGCAGGGTTGTGTCATCTGCATAACGCAGATTGTTGATAAATCGTCCACCAATCTTGACCCCACATTTCTCTTCATAGAGCCTAGCCTCCCGGATAATCTGTTCTGCATATAGGTTGAAAAGCTATGGAGAGAGGATGAATCCCTGGCGTACAAATATTAAGTAGGTATATCTTGATTTCATCACCTCTCAGGTAATATTTTAACATAAGAAACTGTATGGGAATAACGTGCTAACATGTAGGTAATAGGAACTTAATCTGTGATACTGAGGAGCAGGCAAGCAGTAGTCCAGGAATAAGTCTCTCTGGAGATCCTCTGAGCATGAACGTAGCCAATCTAACGGCTTACAAACTGCCTGCGATGCACCGTTAGGAGGCGCTCGTGAAGCTGCAGCAGGATTCCCGCCCTCTCCACTACACCCTTGTAACCCAGCGCGCAGGCGACCGCAAGTAACCTCCCGGTCGCTGACGGGGGTCCCTCCCCCCGCCCGGACTCTCGCCTGCTCCTGCCTCAGCCAATGAGGAACCAGAGAGCGAGACAGCCGGACACTCATCCTTGCGGACTCCTCCCCAAGCAGTTAGAACAGAGTTGTACAGTCACCTTGCCACCGGCTTTAGACTTTTCCAATAGAAACTCTAGGTCCCTATTTCAAGCCCCACCCACCTCTCAGCCCACAGGGTTTTCTTTATAGGTTGGAGTCACCTTTGCCTTACAAACGTTCAGGCCCGCCTTCTTCCTACCTTGCTTCATTAGGCCCCGCCCCACGCTCGAATCGACCAATAATGAAGTTATCTTGGAGCCACTGGGCGGGCCTGTAGCCAATGCGCACGCTGTGGGAGGACCCCAGGCCGGAATTGGAGGTGAAGCTACAGCTTTTTACCCACATTCGGGGCGCGCATATCTAAGGGGTGTCCCTAAGGGGCGCCCGGAGTTAAGATGGCGTCCGCTGCTGAGGGGGACGTGGGAACTGTCGTGGAGCTGGTGAGGGTGCTGCAGTCGGGTTTCCAGGAGCTGAGCCTTAGCAAGTTGGCGACGTCCCTGGGCGCGTCAGAACAGGCGCTGCGGCTCATCATCTCCATCTTCCTGGGTAAGGACCCCCCTGATTCCTCTGCCCACCTCGCGGAGTCCTCTGGGGATAGAAGAGGAAGGGGGACACGACCTGCCTCTCTTTCCGGAGCCACCCAGGAGGATCCTTATGGGGTGCAGGTGTGAATCCTGAAACACACCAACCTGCTGTTCATGGAAAGACAGTGGTCCTGTCTCAGAGTCTAGGGCTGCCATGCCCTCTGAACCTTTCTAACCTTTGCGACCCTTGCTATATACTCTTTGGCCCATCATTTCGGCGCCTCTAACCTTTCATTATGCCCTGCCCTGTACCCACATGACCTGTCCTTATTTGTCGTTCTCTTGAGTTAGACTTTCTGTCCATGCTGTTTGTTATTAAAAGCACTCACACACACAGACACATTTCGTATCAGTAAAAATTTACCCCCTTATGTAGGCCTCCTCAGTCGTATATCCACACTTCCATATTCTGAGTTTTTTGTGCATTAGCAGCTTATGTTAACTCTCGTTTCATTCCTCTCTTGTTTCTATGATGATTCCTTCTTATACGATATTGACTTTTTTACTTTTTTTTTTTTTAACTTTAGCCACTCTCCTGTCATTTGCCCTGGAATATCGTTTTATTACAGGCCTTGGGAAACAGGACTAACAACCCCCTTAAACTGTCCATGCTATCCCAAGCATATAGTTTAAAGGATGTGGTATGTCTTAATTTGTGTCACAAACTCTATTATAATTAGTTTATAGGCATTTTTACTGCGTACTTACTCATTGTTTTTTTTTTAAAAAAATACATAGAAATAGTATGATGTAATGAATGAAAACTGAGGAGGGGGCAGTGAGGGGAAGAGAATGTGGGCTTTGAAGACAAACCTATCCCTGTTGCAACCTGAGGGATCCTGGGCAAACTGCTTAATGTCTCTGGATCTTAGTTTTCTTATCTGTGAAATGAGGACAATAATAACTCCCTAACAGGGTTCCTATAAATTCGTCAGAATTCAAAGGTCAAGATCTGATATACCTTTGAGTAGTTGCAGGATTTTGTGAAGATTATGGGACGTTAGCTAGGACAGTGGGGTTGAGGAAATATTAAGCAAAAGTTTAAAATCGTGATAAGAAAACAGGACTGACTCAAGAGCAACGTATTAGACATCTAAATTATAATAAGTTGAACAAAGTTGAGTAGGTGTAGAAAGCATTAATTGCAAGAAAAGTTTCTAATTTATACAGGAGTCACTGAAGACATTGATATATGATATCACCAAAGGGTAGCCCAATCTAGATAATGGGAGAGGCATTAATTCATATTTAAACAACCTTGTCTAAAATATCATTGTCGTTTGCCTATTATATATCAAATCAAAGTGATCTTACTTTCTTACAAATAGAACCATCTTGTCCTTCTCTTGTAGAACTGTAGATTTTGGAAATGAAAGGGACCTTAGTTGTATGATTTGCACAGTGTCACCCAGACATAACCTGAATTTGTCAACACCTCATTCTAGGTCTTTTTGCACAACAGCAGCCTACTCTTTCAACTTACTTTGTTTCTGACCCAGTTAGAGTTGGGAATATAATTGTCAATTAAGAGTATTTACATTCATTAGTTAAGAAGCACACTGTTGATTTCTCAAGTATAAATTCAGAATGTAATGCAATTAGCAACAAATTATAAGGCACTTTTTAAATGGTGCTACAAGTGGAAGTAGGATTTGGAATTTGTAAATTTTTAAATTTTATTATTGTTTTGTACATGTACCATCAAATCGGATCTGACTGGTAAAGGAGGAGTTTTTTTTTTT